AGCTAGAGAGACAAATGGATTTCATAAACGCATCTCACGCGGTTCTGTGTATGGCTAGGATCCCCCCATGGGGGGATCCTAGCCATATACAGAACCACATCAGATGCGTTTATGATATCCATTTGTGCGTGTCTAGCTAACGCGATTCTGTGTATGGCTAGGATCCCATACGGGATCCTAGTCATACACAGTACCGCGTCAGATGCGTTTATGAAATCCATTTGTGTCTAGCTAACTAACAATATGGTATCCTAGGCTTACACTGCATAAGAAATCGGTCCATAGTCTTCATTACTTTGACTAATTTCTACATTTCTGCCTTGTCCTTATGCTGCTACTTTGTAATTGTTCTCTCTGTAACCTTGCCCGATCAGGCAGTTTCTTTGCCTGTATTGGTATCACATACATAAAAGAATATATTAGTTTATTCAATCAGTAATGTCTTTACTTAGGATCATTACCAGAATAGGCCCCTGATGTAAATCAATCATGATGAAGGACCTGCGTTCAATCTTATCCACAAATTGCTAACATTGGAGAGAATTCCTGTCGGAAATTTAATGTTCATTTAGCTTGGGTCATATTAGTTCACCCTAACCTAACCCAACCTGCCTTTTGCCTCAATCCCAGATGAAGCACCTAAAATTACGCAAGTGCCTATTCTGGTAGTGATCCTTTATGAATGTATGCTGCGATATTACAACTGAATATCTTTTAGACTTAAGTAGAACTGATCAGGAAAGCTGGATGCTAAATCTTCCTTCAGTTAGGCATCTTTCACTATGGCTACATCCACACCGAATATTCTGGGCTTATTCGGTATACATCTCTTACTATCCCTTCACATCTGTCAAGTCGCAACACTCCACTTCTCTGATAATCTTTTCTTTTTTCCTCATATTTCTTGGTGCCCGGGCCCGATGAGGCTTTTAATTTTGCCCGTATCTCACACAGAAATATTTATCCGTGTGTGATAATGATATCATCGAACAATTCATCCTTCTCTTCATATTGACGCTTGAAACGCTCTTCTCATTATCTTGCAACTTGAAACGCTCTAGCCACTGGTGAATGATCTTAGTATTTCATCATTTTATTTTTTTAGTTCACACATGCTCCTGATCTCTTATCATATTACGTTGCTCTATTACGTTCTTTGTTATCTTTTATCTTATTATTTGGGTTTCTTATCTAGTATTTGTTCCGTGAGATCCCAGTGCTGCGGATGTATTGCAAGAGCTACAGCTATTATTATTATTATTATTATTATTATTATTATTATTATTATTATTATTATTATTATCATTATTATTTTTATTATTATTTCATTATTGTTATCATGACTACCACTGTATTATTATTATTATTATTATGACGATCTCTATATTATTATTATTATTATTATTATAGATGTTCTTTTCAAATTTACTTCCGCCGGCCAAGATGAAAGAGAATTCTATTTCATCTCTACTCTGAAAATTGAATATAATTAAAATTAATTTAATATGAAGATTACCTTTCATTCGCATATATAACCTGTTTGCAAAATTGTGCAGGCTTGCGCTGCCCATTAACATTAAATTAAGTTTATTAATTAAATTTATTTTGTATGTGATGTATTTATTTGGATATGACTTTGTAACTGCATTTCTTTTTATCCATTTTTACCCATTTTTTTATACTTATATGTTTGTACGTTAACGGAGCGGGAAATGAAAGCTATGGATGGATTCGGTATTACGTTACGAACTCCCTTTTCTACTAAGGGCTAGGACGGTTGCCTTCTTGCGAAGGACTTGTTTTGGCAGATGTGATCGTTACCCTGAGCGTATGCCCTTACTAACCTCAGTCCGTGACGGGGCGCGAACCCTCGACCTGCCGACACAGAGTCGCGGACGCTACCATTTTGCCACGGAAACTATTGGGAAATGAAAGCTATGAATTTAAAAAATATATTTTCCTCATAGGGGCGCTGTAGCTCAGTGGTAGAGCGCGCTCGTTGGGAAGTGACCAACCTGACTAACGCAGATTCGATCCCTGATCGGAGCGTTAGGAAGGGCATCTATCCACTATCCCCCTGCCCCAACATGTCTGTGTCCACCTCAGTTCTAATGTGGATCTATTGTCACAAACGGTAAAGAGGGACTTTTTGTGACGTTATTACTCCCAAATAGGACCAATGTTCCGGTTTTACGTCACGGACTCCCTTTTTAACCAGGGGCTAGGACGGTTGCCTTCTTGCGAAGGACTTGTTTTGGCATATGTAATCGTTTCACTGAGTGCACACCCTTGCTAATCTCAGACCATGACGGGGCGTAAACCCTCTACCTGACGCCTCAGAGTCGCGGACGCTACCGTTTGAGCCACGGTGACTACCCAAATAGGACCAATGCGGATAGAGAAATAGGAGATAAAGCAAAATGGGAAACAGCCAAAAGAAACCAATTTTGACATGACAAAGTAGGGAGTTTAATTCTCTAATTTTCATATAATTATTTGTATTTATTTATATGAAGCCAGTTCACAACAAAATGATAAGAAGTAAAATTTGACCTTTTAGCGAATGGGTACGTGTCCTCTGACTTGGCCACCCCCTTCAGAGGGAATTTACGCCATTGGATACGTATATATTCATATGATAGATTCTTCTATTTTATGAACACTTAGAGAAGGGAGAACGTTAGTGAATTAGTTGTGAAAATTTAATTATTCACCGCGACTCATATTCGAATTATTTGGGCAACATGTCTGTGCAGTTGTAGACGAGTAATTGCTCTTTCATTCTCTGTTTTTTATTATTACTTAGAAGCCCTCCGTACACGAATCACGTCTGCACAGACTTATCTGTACATGTATAGCCCGTGATGCAAGGTTATGTCAGCGCTGAATCGAGTATTCGTAAAACATTTTAGTGCAGTTTTATAGGATTTTACGCTCTTTATTTCCCTATTTATATGTTTGCACAGTTTACTAACCCTGCATACGCAGTCACGTCTGTACAGATAAATTTGCGTGTTTATCCGTTTAGCCTGTGATTCAAGGTAGTGTCTACGCTAAATCAAATTTTAGGTAAATACTAGTACAGTTGTAACGTATTGCTGAATCTTTAATTCTGTTTAAATGATATCATGAATTAGTAGCGTTACATATTCAAATCACGTCTGTACAAACATATCTGTTTAAGCTTAGCGGTGATTTAAGGTCATGTCCTCGCAAAAACGAGTTTTAGGAAATACTTTGGTGAGGGTATTTTGGGATTATAACTTTTATTCATTTATATAATAATTGAATGGTTTAGTAGCCCTGCTACATATGCAAATCCCATCTACACAGACATATCTTTAGGTATCATCACCAGTTACTTTTTATCATGTAGGCCTAATAGGCAAAATTGAATGTGAGCAGAAGTGTACAATTATATAGAAATTATAACTTTTAATCTTCTGAGTAAATGATTGCACAGTTAGGTATAGTTGCGTATTCACATCACGTCTACACAACGGTGATTCGTTGTCATGTTTATTCAATACAGAATTTGCTCAGTTTATTGAGACTTAGATTATTGTAGCCACGTCTTTACTGATATATCTGAAGGAATTATAACTGTGATTCCTAGCTATGCATGCGCAGATTTGACTTTGCGCAGTCGTTTCGCACAGTTAAATGGAAATATCAGTTGTTTTTTCTACCCTTGCGGTTAATATGCGCCTTGAGAGATCCTCAGAGCGCAAATTCTTATTTGCACAGATATATCTGGGTATGTTTCTACATGCCTCCATTTTCTTTTATGGCAAATTCGATGGATGTACAGTTATATGGGAAGGAGAGGGGTCATATTCCTCTAGCTAATTGATAAGTCTAATAAAAATCTTACATGCGCAGGTATTAGTGAGTCATTGTTATGTATGCACAGATTGATTTACAAAATAATTTCATTCAGGTTTGTTTTTTGTTTTTTTATTGGGGGGAGGAATAATATATGTATATTTTTAATTATTATATCTACTTGAGAAAGTGCACTATATAGACACCGTAGATACGCAGATCACGTCTGCACAGATAAACCTGAAGGCACCTGAACGATGAGTCGTAGTTTTGAGTGTGCAGATATATTTGTACAGTACTTTGATGCAGATATCTGGAGGAATAATAATCTTGTTAATTTTGTGATGATAGTTTGTATGTATGATTTTTTATTAATCCCATTGTGGAGGGGGACACAGGCAGTATTGGCCTTGGGGATTCGATTCCCGAGTCGAACATTCTAACCACTACGGCTACCGTAGATATATCTACAGTATCTCTTAACGGTGATTTATCATTGTTTATACGCTAATAATATTCAGCACAATACTTTCATGCAGTTTTTATGGAGGGGTGGCCAGGTGGGAGTAATAACCTTATATTATCTCTGCTTACGCGATTCCACTGTAATGAAGTCCCACTTACCCAGATCAAGTCTGCACTGTTATATTTGAATTTATTTTAACGGGGAATTGTCTTTTTTAACGCGGAGAAATTAATTTCCGCTTTCATGTTTTGTTATTGTAAGTAGTCACCGTGGCTCAAGAGGTAGCGTCCGCGACTCTGAGGCGTCCAGGTCGAGGGTTCGCGCCCCGTCACGGTCTGAGGATAGCAAGGGCATGCACTCAGGGTAACGATTACATCTGCCAAAACAAGTCCTTCCCAAGAAGGCAACCGTCCTAGCCCTTAGTACAAAAGGGAGTCCGTGACTTAAAACCGGAATTTTATTTTTGTTATTGTGTAAGTCCTTCGTAGCGAAAAATAAAATACGCTTCGATAATATTGGCGCTTCTCATCTGCACGGATAATCCAAATGAGTTCAGGTGTGAATTAAGATGTCTGCGTTTGCATACCTTTTAGTGGTGGGTTTGCAATCATATATTGTATCATAAGAAAAAGATCTATTTAGATATGTAAAAATACCGAATCATTGCAGATACAAAGTATGGCAGATGCTTTTTTTTTTTTTTTTTGCGCAAGCATGTTTTGTGTTTTTAGAATAAATAACTTCAGATAAAAAGACCGGACTTATTGTAGATAAAAAGTATGGCAGAGGTTTTGTTTTACGAACTTCATATTTTTTTTTAGGAATACAGGACTATTTAGATAAATAATACCGAATTATTGCATATAAAACGTATGGGAGAGATGTTTGTTCAAACGTGTCATTTGCTCTCAGAAGAATAATGAATTATTTAAGATAATACCGAATTATCGCAAACGAAAAGTAAATATGTTCCGCTTTAGAAGGAATCATTTGATTTTTTTATATAGTATATGTACTAGGTAAAATGGAAAAGGGATGAAAAAGAATTTAAATCAAATGGGGGGGGGGGGGGGGGGGGGGGGGGGGGGGAGAGAGAGAGAGAGAGAGAGATGTGTTTTACTATTGGAAAATATGGTGGTGGGAAAATATAAATTTAAAATTATGAATGTAAATAAATGTGCATTTTGATATAGACATAAAAAGACAAAATATAAAATCAGACTAGACATGTAAAACACACTGCAGACAGACAGTCAGATTGAAAGACAGGTATATAGACGCAAACATCATTTAGACAGAGTTAGTTCAAGCAGGCATATAAAGAATAGTCCTTTAGACTGAAAATAGAATAAGACTATTGGACAGATGAAACTGACGCAGACGTACATCCTGAATTACAGCTAAGCGAACTCTAATTTCACTGAGACAGACAAAAATAAACCTGCGCTACTAGAATACTTCTTTAAGGGGGGTTTACACGTTCAAACGGTTCTTCGAACGCGGTTCGACAGACTAGTGTTTGAAGTGATGTTCGAACGTGTGAACGGGGTATTTGGTTGTCGAACACGATACTACTGCTACTTTTGTATTCTACGTGATCAACGTTATTCATCATGGGAGTGACTACTTGCTTCAAGTTGTTTGAGATTGATCTCTTTCTCTCACTCACTATTTGATTACTTCGAACGTGTGAACGGGGTATTTGCTTGTCGAACACGTTTGTCGAACGTGTTCGACAACCAAATACCCCGTTCACACGTTCGAACATCACTTCAAACACTTGTCTGTCGAACCGCGTTCGACGAACCGTTTCACCGTGTAAACCCCCCTTTAGACTGATTATAAAATGAGAGTTTGGACAGGCGAAACAGACTGCAGAAAGGCAGACTGAAAAACAGAGAAACAAACTCGTATTTCAGATAGAACAAATGCAGAGGGCGATATGAACAACTAAACAAATGATGATTAGATAGAAAATAATATTCTCAAGTATAAAAGCAATCTCTTAATGAATGGTTACTTTAAGAAAAAATATTTGATACTTGAACGAATACGCTAACAGTCGACATTTTTATTTTTTTCCTTCATCTTTAGGATTTTCTTTTCGATCACAGCTTCTTCTTTTTTCGTATGCATGAGGATAGACCAGGAGTGTTGATTCTTCTTTGGAGAGAAAAATAAAAAGGACACACACTTGGTTTCCATTTCTCAAGAAGAAGAAAAGGAAGCTGAGGAGAACCTTGGAATTGACCCGTTGGTCTTTACTATTTGCTGCAAAAATAATATTTCCATTGTATTGTTCTTGTTTAGCTCATTTTATTTTTCTTATAATAATAGGACGTGTATTTTTGTTTCATAACTAGTTTTATTGTTGAATATATCATTTTGGTATTAATGTTTTTAAGTTATATTGTTCATATATTTTGTTTACAAGTTGATTGTACGATAAATATCTTTTCTTTTAAGTCTAGACCTTTAAATTATATCTAAGGTATACTTTAACACCTAATTATTGGCTATTTATTATTTAAATATACACCTTGTATTTTATATCATATATAAAGTCATGCACTCATGCTTGTACCTGTGTGTTTGATTGTTCCCAGTGTGATAGAACCTTTTATTATTTCTATTTCGCCTCTTCATTAGTAACTGACTTTAAGAATATGATCTTTATAGTATTTAATATAAAATTTTTAAATACATAATTAGTGTATGGTAGTGCCCCACCCATAGATATTGCCCATATATTAATTTCTTG